ATGAGGATCTACAATACTTTTATATAATAAATTAATTTTTATAGAATAAAAAAGATCAATTAATAATTAACAAAACTTAAAAAAGAATAGAATAAAATATAGAAAAACCCTAGAACATAAAAATTAATAATTAATTTTCCAGAAAGTATATTTATGATGTATTTAATTCAAAAATATAAAAATTCTTGCTTGTAGTCTACAAGTATTTTCATGTATTTTTGCTATTAGATGACAAGTTTTTCGTTTATGATATTTCCTTTTAATTCGATTTTATATAAATGTTAAGAGTTTGAAAGGTTTTACATTATCTTTTTGTAAATTTGGTCAGATTAAGAACCTTAAAATTGGAATATTAAATGACTGATTTTAAGTTTGCTTATCAATTAAGCGATTTACACAAAATATTCTTCTTCAATTTAATAAAGCTATGAAATTTCTAATTTATAATACTGCAAATTTTAATTATTAAGTGATGGAAGAACAATTTAGGTTAATTGGTGATCATTAAATATACCTTGTTGGAATTAAATTGTTAATTTTTTAGATTTTATTTTCAAAATTTATTCTTTAGTTTTTTAATAGTAATCAGATTCTTATTAATTTTTGAAGTTAAATTATAAAGAAACTGAGTTATCTATTTAAATTTCTTCCAAAGACTCTATTTCAATGTGAGGGGAGTAATTTTATATTTTTTCAAATTAAAATGAAAGTTATATTTGCTAGTTTTATCTTCCTTTTAATTCTATTATCGATTGCTCAACTAAATCATTGTAGATTTACAAAGAAGTTTCACTAAAAATTTCGTTAGAAAAAAGTTGTTTCAATTATTTGGGGCAGTATCTGAAATACTCACAGAAAGAAGAGCTAAATGAGACACGTTAGATATATCTAAGCTAATTTAATGATAGAGAAATTGAATCTAATAATGTTTAATCTTAATTATTTCCATTGCTAATAATGAATACAAGATCTTTAAGTTTCTGCATACTCTTAATAGAAGAGGCTAAAGCAGATCCTCCTTCCGGACTTATATTGTTTGAAGATCCTATTTACAAATCAAAAAAGTGCAAAGTGGATAATTAGCTAAGTCCTTATGCTATTGCCTATGCACCACTATTGCCTATTTCACATTTATTACCAAATTTAAGAGAAAGATATTAAATTTTCAATAAGCCTTTCAGACCTAAACCTAATTCCACAGCACCTTCCTACTCAATTTTAGAGTTTTCACCAAATTCTAATTAAAGCAAATTCAACTAAGCTTAAAATTTTAAACTATTACCAAGAGCTTAAGCACCTAATTTTTAAATTGGTGTTTCAGCAGTAAAGAAAAGACATAGCTATTAAAGATTTTACAGGTATTACAAAGGCAAAAAAAGAAGCTAATCTTGATAAATTGAAACTTTAGAGAAACCTAATTTAAGTATTTATAAGTTTACTAAATACTTTAAATTTTCTATATTGGTTTTTTCTAAGTTGAGTGAGCAGTTACTTAGAGAAATTTCAAGAGTTTGAAGCTTCTAAAAATGTGAAAATGAATTGGTGATGTTTCTTAAAATGTTTGCGAAATCCACTTACTAGTCATAGAACCAACTATGGGAGAGGATTAAATAATTCAAGTTGTAAAGATTAACCAACTTAGAGTAAAATTAGCTTATGTCATCTACTTAGGATTCAAAATTATTTTAAAATCTAGCAGTTAATTAAGTTATTCCTCTGTATTTTTAAATATGATTTTCTTCTTATTTTAAAACTTCTTCTTCTTCTTCTAGTTAAATTTACTCTGTTTGCTTGATTTCTGAATCTATTTAAGGTCTAACATATTCACTATGAACTTTGAAATCTAATTTATTTAAGTTAATTTAATTTAAAAGACTATCAAAAGCCTTAGCTACATCTATTATTGATATAATGAAATTTCCAACAAAAGATTTTAAATTTTTTAGTTTTTATAATCCTTGCTGAAAATAAATAGCTCCTTCTTTGGTGAAATCTGTATCATGAAACAAAAGATTTATAATATTTATTTATTATAAACTTAGTAAGCCGCTGCAAGCTTCTCTGAACTCTAATGCATCTGAATCTGTCAAATATATTTGATCAAAGTTAATCTCTAGCTAATTTAAATTTTTAAGATGCTTCAATCCTCTAAATATGTCTTTGAAATAACTATCAGCTTCTTATATCAGGACTTATAAATTAAGTGTCTTTAGTTAAGTTAAATTTAAAAGAGCGTTTTCTATATCAAGTCTTTTTTCCCAGCTTTAAGGATAGACACTTAATCCTAAATCTAAATGTTGTAAATCTTTTAAATTTTGGATGCTTTTTATGAAAGAAATAGAATAGTCTTAATCAACTATCTAAAATCTCCTAATTATCAATTTTTTTAAATTGCAAAGCTTTTTTATTGTTTATGATAGCTCCTCGAATGTTTCAAAATCAGTATTCAAAGCAAGGTTGTTAATTTCTTCCAGATTCTAAAGGTGTTAAAGAGACTAAATAATTTAATTTATTTGGTCTTGGCTAAAGCTCTGATTAAATTAGATATAAAAATCTAACTTTTTAAGGTTTTAAAGGCTCTTAATTCCATCAACAAATGCTTCTACTGATTAGATTTAATCCAATTAAATTACTTATCCAAATTATGGTCTCAAAAATGAAATACTCAAAACTAAGTCTTCAAGAATATCTTAATTTTGCAAACCTTCTCCTAATTAAATAAATTCTTCATTAGCAATCATACAATCTATGGCTAATTAGAACCTAACAAGCTTTATTTATTTTAAAAATGAGAAAGCTAAGTGTGACTATTACCTATACACATTTGTATAAAAATTATAATTAAGCTTTAAATTCAAATCTTTCAGATTACTCAAGTGACTTAGCGAATTTAATAGCTTGTTTTAACCCTCAGTTGTATCATCTTCAAAGTAAAGATTTAGTTTCAATTCGCTCAATTAATTTAGTTGCTTAAACGATTCTGATAAATTTTAATAACCTATTAAGCTTATTTTAGTTTTTATTTAAAAATTTAATTACTTCAATTTATCACAATTAAAATAAATTTATTGTGCAATTTTAGTAATTGTTTCTTCATAAAGCTAATGATTTGTTGTAATTAACTCGAGAATATTTAACTGACTTTTATTTTCTAGACTTTTGCATACCACAGCTTCTGATTGTGAAGAATTTCTAGAGCCAACCTTATCAAAATCTAATTTCAGACTTTTCAGTTTAGCTAATTGGCTGAGAGATTAGAAATATTCGTCATTAAAAAAACCTAAATCTTTATTCTAATTCTGGAGATTTTCAAGATGAATTTCTTCTAAATTTGTTAATTTGTTAAAAAAAGTAGAAATGTGAAGAATATCATCCAAATTTAAAGAAATATCTTTAAAATTTAGCTTAAGCGCAGTTAGGCTAATCATTTACTAAAGAAAATGAGTTATCCTTGAAATTGAGCAACTAGTTAATATTCTCAGAGCTAAATTTAATTTTGTTATTTTTTTGAATGTTAAAATTGATTGAAATAGCTGATCAATTTCATTCTAGTCTTAATATCTCAAGTCTAAATCTAAATCTAAGCTCTCAATTTGCTCTAATTATTACAATCCTTACCAGATTTCGATATTTGTCTCAGAGTTTTTTGGCTACAATTCATCTATTTTGAGTTTTAATTCAATGAGATACTTTGTGTTATTCAAAAATTGGACAAAATTTTATAAACTTGAATGGGAAATGTAATTTGATTTTTGAATTTCTATTTCGAGTTTTTTTAATTTCTTAAGAGAAGAAATAGTAAAATTGAGTAAATTAAAGCCTTGGTCTTCTAAAAAGCATAACTCTTAAACCTGTATGACTAACTTTTCTAATTAAGTGAGTTATTAAACTGATTTAAGAATAGAATTCCATCCTTCTAATCCTAAATTGCAATTGGACTCGAAAATTAGTGTTAAATCTGATAAATTATTTAAACTACTTAAATAGCCTTCATTTTAAGATACAAATAATTCATTCTGATAAAGATTTGATTCGAATTTTATAGAAAGTTTCTTGATTTCTATAAGCTCGTTAGGATTAATTTCAAGCAAGTCTCTAGAAGAGAATTCTTTTTCTTATGTCATTATTTAATATTATAAATTGTTAATTATTTATATTTAATATTAATTATAAAACTAAACTGTTGACTTTTGTTTTAAATTACTCTTTTATAATGAAACTAATTAATTCAAAAGAAATTGATTATACTTTTTTTATATTGGGAATGATAGTCCTATAAAACTGTAAACATTTCCTCAATTCTAAGCAAATTAAAAACTTAACTAAAAATAGAAATAAATTAAGATTGTAAAAATAATTAATGTCTTTGTTGTTTCTAAAAAAGGATAATTGTGTTTACTTATTTAAACTTACTCCATTTATTTTGAGATATTGAGGTAAATGAATTCATAGAAAAAGAAAGTAAAAAAGTATGATGGAAATTTATTAAAATTTTATTAAAACATAGAATTTTTTGATAATCTGTAGAAATTATTTAACAAAATAAAATTACCTTATAAATTTTTTAAAAATATTTCTACTAAAACTGCAGAAAAAGAGGTAAAATTTTGATACAAACAAGATATTTTTGGCTCTCTTTTATTAAAACAGAAATTTGTTTATTAGCGTAACAAATAAATTCTGGTTATTTTTAAGACAAACCAAATCTTGATCATCATTAAATAAACAAGCAAACAAACAAATCTTTGATATCAAAGCAGCAAATGATTTTACTGAAATTGAAACAAAATAAGATATTTTAATAATGAAAAGAAAAAATTATTTTTTAAGTTTTGGCCAACAAAATTAATAAAAATATATGAAAAAAATTGTTTTATTTTAAAAAGTTTAATGTTTTCTAAAATAAATACAATCAATAAATTTATCCTTTTTATGCTTATTTTTTGAAAGAAGATATTAATATTTTATTTTCTCAAATTTAATTAAATCTTCTCAAAAATCTAAATTAATAAACAATGAAAAAAATCACAACTCACAATTAAATTTTCAAATAATTGCGAAATCAAATCTTTGATAATTAATTTGTTAAATTTCTTTCAAATTAGTGATGAAATAATCCTTTTTACATTTAATTAAAAAACTAATTGTTTTCTCAATTTTAATTAAATTAAAATCAGAATTAAAGACTGTAAGCTTGGATATTATATATCTTTAATTTTCATTTACAACCAAAAGCATTGAATTAAAGGATGTAATTTTGGTCTAAATAATAATAAAGTAGATTTAATATTTATGCTCATTTTATATCAAGGCTTTAAATAAATAAAAAATAAATATATCACTTATTAATCAATTAGTGTCAAAATAAACATTTAAAAAAAAATATTTTAACATTTTTGAAATATCAATCAATCTAAATAATAAATTTAGCTGATACAATAAAATAAAATGTTTATATTGAAATTAGTTTTATCAATTTTGCAGATTTGATGTTTTTGATTAATTTCAAACATTTTGAGATAATTAAATTAAGTATTAAAAAACATCTTTTTTTAAGTATGTAACATGGCGTATCACTATTTTTAATCACAACGAGAAAATAATAAAAATTAAATTGTGTATAAGTATTCACAAAATATGGTGAAAATTTATGCTTGCTGGTGAGAATTTATGAGGATTTACGGTATATAAATTAATATTTGATAATTAATTAATTATTATATTTTATTTATTCTTTTTATCCATTTATAATTAATTAAATTTCATAAATTGCTATCCAATATTTTTGAAAAAGAAAATAAATGATTTAATAGATTAAAAAATTTAATAATTTGAAAGAAGTAATTATTAATTTTTTTATTAATATCCTTTATATTAATATAAATTAATAAAAAAAGTTTAAAAGCTCTTCACTTTTATCTCATTAGGTTCTCCATTTTGATCTCAAGTATATTTAATTAAAAGATATTATTTTTTTTATTTTTAATATTTTTTATATATTTAAATTTTCAATTTATTTAAGTAAATAATTTTTATTATAAAAATTATCATCATTATTTATTGATTTTTATTAAAACAAAAATTTTTTAGCTATTTTAGCTTAATTTTCATTTCAATTTTTAATTATTTATTTATTATTCATTTTTTATTAATTGAAATTTTTTCTTCATTACTATTAAAACTTACACTTAATAAAAGCAGCTTATTAATTTTGGATGGTGATATTTTAATTATCAAAGTTAATTTAAAGAATTAAAGCTCTTTTAGTTTATTTGATTTCTTTTTCTTTTTATTATGATTTTTTTTTCTTTCCATTCTTTGTTAATTTTATTAAATATTAATAAATCTTATATTTCATATTTTTTCCTTCTAATTAACTAAAGTCAAATGCCTATTTTATTTATTTAGGCAAAATATAATATATCTTAATAAAATAATAAATAAAGCTAAATTAGTTTAAAGCAACTTCATTTTTGAGTTTTTAGAAAGCTTTAAATTCACAAAATGTAAAATTTTAAATATTATTTATTTACCAGTTATTCTTATAACATACCATTTTTTTTAAAAAAATAAATTTTAAAAAATTTTATTTTAATTTTATAAAATGTAAAAACTGGTATAAAAAAACTCGCTTTTTAAAAATTTGTATGGCAACTTATTCTATTTAATGATATATTTTTCTTTAATATTTAAAAAGTTACAATTAAATTAGTGATGGAGATGCATCAGGCTTAGGTTCTGGTTTAGCAAATTGCATTAATCTCTCTAATTTGACACTTTATCTTCGGTAAAAGCATTTTATTTAATTTGGATTGTGATATTTTTAATTATAATAACTAATTAAAAACAATAAACCTATTTTTTCTTTTCTTTTTATTGTGCTTACTTTTTTTTATTCTTTCTTTATATTTTAATTTGGCTCATCTTTTTATTTTCAACTTTTGCTTTTATTATTGATTAATCTTTTTATTTCATATTTTTTCTTTATCTTTTCCTTCAAATTAACTATTTAATGAATATTTTTTCTTCAATATATAAAAAGTTACAATTAAATTGGTGCAGTGGGTGCATCAGGCTTAGGTTCTGGTTTAGCAAATTGCATTAATCTCTCAAATTTGACACTTTATCTTGGGTAAAAACAGTTTATTTAATTTGGATTGTGATATTTTTAATTATAATAACTAATTAAAAACAATAAAGCTTTTTTTCTTTTTTTTATTTATTGTTTTTGCTTTTTTTGTTCTTTTTTTATTAGTTAATTTGGCTCATCATTTTATTTTCAATTTTTGCTTTTATTACTAATTAATATTTTTATATTATTTTTTTTCTTCAACATTTAAAAAGTTCTAATAAAATTGATGATGAAGGTGCATCAGGCTTAGGTTCTGGTTTAGCAAATTGCATTAATCTCTCAAATTTGACACTTGGTCTTAGGTAAAAACACTTTATTTGTTTTGGATTGTGATATTTTAAATTATAAAAACTAATTAAAAACAATAAAGCTCATTTTTCTTTTTCTTTTTATTGTGCTTGCTTTTTTTTTTTCCTTTCTTTCTTTCTTTTTTAAATTTTATTTTGAACTTTTGCTTTTATTATTGATTAATCTTTTTATTTCATATTTTTTCTTGATCTTTTCCTTCAAATTAACTATTCAATGATATATTTTTTCTTCAATATATAAAAAGTTACAATTAAATTGGTGCAATGGGTGCATCAGGCTTAGGTTCTGCTTTAGCAAACAGCATTAATCTCTCAAATTTAACACTTGATCTTAGGTAAAAACAGTTTATTTGTTTTGGATTGTGATATTTTTCATTATAAAAACTAATTAAAAACAATAAAGCTCTTTTTTCTTTTTCTTTTTATAGTGCTCGCTTTTATTTGTTCTTTCTTTCTTTGTTAATTTGGTTATCATATTATTTTCAATTTTTGCTTTTATTATTTCATATTTTTTCTTCGTTTTTTCCTTCTAATTAACTATTTAATGATATATTTTTTCTTCATATATTTAAAAAGTGACAATTAAATTGGTGAAATAGGTGCATCAGGCTTAGGTTCTGGTTTAGCAAATTGCATTAATCTCTCAAATTTGACACTTGATCTTAGGTAAAAACAGTTTATTTGTTTTGGATTGTGATATTTTTAATTATAAAATTAATTAAAAACAATAAAGCTCTTTTTTCTTTTCTTTTTATTGTGCTTGCTTTTTTTTGTTCTTTCTTTCTTTGTTAATTTGGCTCATCATTTTATTTTCAACTTTTGCTTTTATTATTTCATATTTTTTCTTCATTTTTTCCTTCTAATTAACTATTTAATGATATATTATTTCTTCAATTATTTAAAAAGTTCTAATAAAATTGGTGATGAAGGTTCATCAGGCTTAGGTTATGGTTTAGCAAATTGCATTAATCTCTCAAATTTGATACTTGATCTTAGGTAAAAATAGTTTATTTGTTTTGGATTCTGATATTTTAATTAGAAAATTAATTAAAAACAATAAAGCTTTTTTCTTTTTCTTTTTATTGTGCTTGCTTTTTTTTGTTCTTTCTTTCTTTTTTAATTTGGTTATCATATTATTTTCAACTTTTGCTTTTATTATTTCATATTTTTTCTTCATTTTTTCCTTCTAATTAACTATTTAGTGATATATTTTTTCTTCAATATCTAAAAAGTTACAATTAAATTGGTGGAATAGGTGCATCAGGCTTAGGTTATGGTTTAGCAAATTGCATTAATCTCTCAAATTTGACACTTGATCTTAGGTAAAAACAGTTTATTTGTTTTGGATTGTGATATTTTTCATTATAAAAACTAATTAAAAACAATAAAGCTCTTTTTTCTTTTTCTTTTTATTGTACTTGCTTTTTTTGTTCTTTCTTTCTTTTTTAATTTGGTTATTCATATTATTTTCAACTTTTACTTTTATTATTTCATATTTTTTCTTCATTTTTTCCTTCTAATTAACTACTTAATGATATATTTTTTCTTCAATTATTTAAAAAGGTCTAATAAAATTGGTGATGAAGGTGTATCAGGCTTAGGTTCTGCTTTATCAAATTGCATTAATCTCTCAAATTTGACACTTGATCTTAGGTAAAAACAGTTTATTTGCTTTGGATTGTATTTTAATTATAAATACTAATTAAAAACAATAAAGTTCTTGAATTAATTTGATGGCTTTTATTTGATTTATTTATTTTTTTTTATTTTTTCTTCCACTAATGCTATTTTATTTCTTTATATAAGAAATATTTTTTAATTTAAAAATTTATTCAGTTTTGATATTGATTTAAAATTTACACAATTTATTATAAAAGTAATAACCAAATGAATGAATCAAAAAAATTCGAAGTAATAAGCAAGTGTTTTAAATCAAAAAGATTAGTTGTCTTTATAAAAGAAATTTGGTGATAAACAAGTGACGAAAAAAGGATGGATAAATATTAAATGTTTAAATAATATTAAATAATATTTTGAAAAAGTTTTTTTTAACCTAAAATATAAAAAGATAGATACATAAATTTTATTATTGATTTTATATTTATAAATATCATTCATATTTTTGTAAGTAAATAAATATTTATAAAAAATAAAAAAAAATAATTTACTTAAATAAATTAATTCCTCATAAGCAACCCTATGGTTTCACCAAAAATGATAAAATAATTAGAAACTTTATATATATATTATTTTTTAATAAATTATAAAAATGCCAAGCTTTTATATTCCAGTTTTTTTTAATCTGAAATATTATTTATCAATCATATTTCTATCTTTTTTTTATTTTCATGATTAAATAGATACCATGATTTAAATAAAACTTCATGGAGAAATCAAATTTTACTTTTTATTTTAACTTTTGTGGTTAATAATTACAAATCTTATTAGTATTCCTGTAAATAGCATTGAAAAAGGCAGTACCCTAGGGTACTATATATATATAATTCTATTATAAAATTATTTATTTTTATATTAATAATATTCAAACGCATCAGCCATTCAAAAAAATAGTGATCTCAATTCACTAAATTTTTGAATGGAATTTGGCTATTCTACTTTTTTAAGCAGCTTCTTTAAGCTGATATTATGTTTATTTAACATCAGTATTTTTTAAATTTATTTACTTACATTTTGCAAATATTCGATAAAAATATATTTTATATCCATATTCTTGCTCTCAAAACGCAACTAAATATACACGTTTCACGACTCGCTAATATTGAGGTGTTAATGTAATTTATAAAATTATTTTTTTATCATAATTAGGATGATAAGGTTTTGAAAAAAAAACAGCTTATAATAGACACTTTTTTTTAATTCTTTTTAATTTATTTAAATGAATAGTAAACATAAAAATGTTTTATATTATTAGGCGCAAAATTATTTTTAATTAATCTAATTTACAGATGGTTTATTCAAAAAGTAAGAGCTTAAAACTTAATATTAAATAAATAAAAAAATTTGTTTTAAAATGTATTGTTTACTATTGATTTAAAAATATTTAAATTGCTTATTTTTGTTAAGAAAAGTTATTGGAGACGCAGTGAGATCGTTTAACTTAACAATTAAATATTATTAATCAGAAATTAATAAACTTGTTGGAGACGCGAAATTTGTTTAAAAATAATGGGAGAAAAGATTATTTCAATAATTATTTTTAATTAAAAAAAGCAAAGATTTAAAAGAAGACTCTGAAATCAATTAAATAAGTAATTACTCAAAAAAGATCATACAATCTAACAAAATAAATATTAATTCCATGATACCCAACCAAACAAGCAACCAATAAAAAGATAATTAACCTCCTTAACAGCCTTCATAAAATTAATCTTTTTAATCAGTAAAATAAACCTAATCTGTTGAGAAAGTTAAACAAATTTCAAAGCCTAAAACTGAAAAGCCAAATAACACTAAACGCTCTTACACAAAAAGAAAATAACCAGCTCTTAATCTATAAATGCCTATATAGGTGTTTCCATAATAATAGTTACCATTTTTAATGCCATATTAACTATATCAACCATATTTTTATCAGCCACTTAATTTCTATGATAATTTATAACCACAAAAATATGCAGAAATGTAAATAGAAGATTCAATTTAAGAGGTAGTAAACTCAAAAAACCATAAAAAATAAATTTACAATCTCGAAAAGGGACTTGTTTTAGATGTGAAAACTTTACATAAGCACTTCTAGTTCAATAAAAATCAAGATTAGACTATACCAGTTATGGTTTCAGTCAAAACCTTAGACTAGACAAACGATATGGAAGTTGAATCAAATCCATTAGAAGGTAGACCAAATCTTGATTTGATTTGCGTAATTGATAACTCTGGATCTATGAGTGGCTGCTCAAAAATAGAAAATGTTAAAAATACTATACTTTAACTTCTTGAGATGCTCAATGAAAATGATAGATTATCATTAATCACATTTAACACTAAAGCCAAACAGCTTTGTGGGCTAAAAAAAGTGAACAATTAAAATAAAGAATCCCTTTAAACTATAACAAAGTCAATTAAAGCTGATGGTGGTACAGATATTACTAGCGGCTTAGAAATTGCATTTTAAATCTTACAAAGTAGAAAACAAAAGAATTCAGTGAGTTCAATTTTCTTACTTTCAGATGGTCAAGATGATGGTGCTGATATCAAAATAAAAAATCTCTTGAAAACAACCTACTAATAGCTACAGGAAGAGAGTTTCACTATTCACTCATTTGGTTTCGGTAATGATCATGATGGTCCTCTTATGTAAAAAATAGCTTAAATTAAAGATGGTAGCTTCTATTTTGTAGAAAAAAATGATTAAGTTGATGAATTTTTCATCGATGCGCTTGGTGGTTTGTTCTCAGTTGTAGCCTAAGACCTCACTATTAAAATTGAAATTAACAGATAAAATGAATTATTTCAAAAATTCTTCAAAAACTCTTATATCTCAAAGACTTATGGTCATATGTGGAAGATTATTAATCAAAACTAAGAATTAAGGATTAATATTAACTAAATTTTCTCAGGAGTTTCTAAAGATTTCATTTTGAATTGACTGTTCCAAAATCTGAGATTAAAGATTTATAAGATTTTGAAAGAAATTTAGAGACAATAAATGTTTAATTGACTGCACGCCCTGTTGATTCAATGTTACAAACATTAAAAGAGAGTAAATTAGTTTTGACTCTGTTTACAGATAATGAATAAGTAGCATAAGATTCAGAAATTAACGATAACGTTGAATTTAACTACATCAGAGTAAAGGCAGCTTAAGCTATAGAAGAAGCCATCAAATATGCTGATCAAAACCAATACAATCAAGGACAACATGTATTATCAGATATGTTAAAATAGATAGAGAAATCTCACCCTAAAAACTAGGCTAAGCTCTAAGTTCTTAAAGACGATTTAGTTTAATGTTAATAAAACGTGCAACCTTAAGTGTACTAAATTCAAGGTAAGCTCTAAGCATAGTAACAATGTGTTAGTCATTATAACTAATAATCATAGGCAGTAAGATTGAATGATATGTATTAAATACCTCTTTAAAGATAAATGGTTTAATAATAATAATAGCAAAAGTAATAATAAATTTGGAATAAACCTTAATAATTGCCTTAATAATTAATCTAGTTATAAAAAAACCCACAATAACAAATCTAGTAATAATAACAGTACTAGTAGTAATAATAACAGTAGTAGTAGTAGTAATAATAACATTAGCAATAGTAATAATAACAGCAGTAGTAGTAATAATAACAATAACAATAGCAATACTAATAAGCATATTAATAACAATATTAGAATAACTATCATTGAATATAACTATATAATACTTCTAATGTTTAATATATTAAAAAGAAATTCTCTTCTAATTAATATAAACTAGTTTAATATTAATAATAAATAAATATAAAATGAAATACAAAAAGAGTACTATTTTAAATAATATATTTACAAAGAATAGCAAAAATGAATATTTGAGAAAAGAAATTTATTTTATCTTTTTAGTAAATATCTGTTTATTATTTTCACTTTATGTTGTTAAATATGCCTAAAATTTAGAAGATTATTTATCAATAAAAAATTAATTTAAAATAATTCATTGTTTGTTTTTTATGTTCTTTTAAAAAATAAATTTAAGCAAAATAATATATTCACAATTTTTATTTTTTTTCTTTATAAAAAGTAAATTAAATCTTCTTTAACGACTATCAATTAATATCTTTTATTAAATTACATAATATTTAAAATTTGATCCTAATTTAATAAATAGCAATAGGCTAAATTTGAATTTTGGAGACATCGGCTTTTTTAAAATTTTAATTTAGTGATGACTTTTTATTTTTATAATTTAGATACAGCTGGCTATTTTCGTAATTTAGACCTAATTTTTTTATCAAATTTCAACATTTTTGTCAGGAAGAGGGGGGGAGGAGGGGGGGGGGGGGGGAATGGGGTAGCACTTAATTTATGAGGATCTACAATACTTTTATATAATAAATTAATTTTTATAGAATAAAAAAGATCAATTAATAATTAACAAAACTTAAAAAAGAATAGAATAAAATATAGAAAAACCCTAGAACATAAAAATTAATAATTAATTTTCCAGAAAGTATATTTATGATGTATTTAATTCAAAAATATAAAAATTCTTGCTTGTAGTCTACAAGTATTTTCATGTATTTTTGCTATTAGATGACAAGTTTTTCGTTTATGATATTTCCTTTTAATTCGATTTTATATAAATGTTAAGAGTTTGAAAGGTTTTACATTATCTTTTTGTAAATTTGGTCAGATTAAGAACCTTAAAATTGGAATATTAAATGACTGATTTTAAGTTTGCTTATCAATTAAGCGATTTACACAAAATATTCTTCTTCAATTTAATAAAGCTATGAAATTTCTAATTTATAATACTGCAAATTTTAATTATTAAGTGATGGAAGAACAATTTAGGTTAATTGGTGATCATTAAATATACCTTGTTGGAATTAAATTGTTAATTTTTTAGATTTTATTTTCAAAATTTATTCTTTAGTTTTTTAATAGTAATCAGATTCTTATTAATTTTTGAAGTTAAATTATAAAGAAACTGAGTTATCTATTTAAATTTCTTCCAAAGACTCTATTTCAATGTGAGGGGAGTAATTTTATATTTTTTCAAATTAAAATGAAAGTTATATTTGCTAGTTTTATCTTCCTTTTAATTCTATTATCGATTGCTCAACTAAATCATTGTAGATTTACAAAGAAGTTTCACTAAAAATTTCGTTAGAAAAAAGTTGTTTCAATTATTTGGGGCAGTATCTGAAATACTCACAGAAAGAAGAGCTAAATGAGACACGTTAGATATATCTAAGCTAATTTAATGATAGAGAAATTGAATCTAATAATGTTTAATCTTAATTATTTCCATTGCTAATAATGAATACAAGATCTTTAAGTTTCTGCATACTCTTAATAGAAGAGGCTAAAGCAGATCCTCCTTCCGGACTTATATTGTTTGAAGATCCTATTTACAAATCAAAAAAGTGCAAAGTGGATAATTAGCTAAGTCCTTATGCTATTGCCTATGCACCACTATTGCCTATTTCACATTTATTACCAAATTTAAGAGAAAGATATTAAATTTTCAATAAGCCTTTCAGACCTAAACCTAATTCCACAGCACCTTCCTACTCAATTTTAGAGTTTTCACCAAATTCTAATTAAAGCAAATTCAACTAAGCTTAAAATTTTAAACTATTACCAAGAGCTTAAGCACCTAATTTTTAAATTGGTGTTTCAGCAGTAAAGAAAAGACATAGCTATTAAAGATTTTACAGGTATTACAAAGGCAAAAAAAGAAGCTAATCTTGATAAATTGAAACTTTAGAGAAACCTAATTTAAGTATTTATAAGTTTACTAAATACTTTAAATTTTCTATATTGGTTTTTTCTAAGTTGAGTGAGCAGTTACTTAGAGAAATTTCAAGAGTTTGAAGCTTCTAAAAATGTGAAAATGAATTGGTGATGTTTCTTAAAATGTTTGCGAAATCCACTTACTAGTCATAGAACCAACTATGGGAGAGGATTAAATAATTCAAGTTGTAAAGATTAACCAACTTAGAGTAAAATTAGCTTATGTCATCTACTTAGGATTCAAAATTATTTTAAAATCTAGCAGTTAATTAAGTTATTCCTCTGTATTTTTAAATATGATTTTCTTCTTATTTTAAAACTTCTTCTTCTTCTTCTAGTTAAATTTACTCTGTTTGCTTGATTTCTGAATCTATTTAAGGTCTAACATATTCACTATGAACTTTGAAATCTAATTTATTTAAGTTAATTTAATTTAAAAGACTATCAAAAGCCTTAGCTACATCTATTATTGATATAATGAAATTTCCAACAAAAGATTTTAAATTTTTTAGTTTTTATAATCCTTGCTGAAAATAAATAGCTCCTTCTTTGGTGAAATCTGTATCATGAAACAAAAGATTTATAATATTTATTTATTATAAACTTAGTAAGCCGCTGCAAGCTTCTCTGAACTCTAATGCATCTGAATCTGTCAAATATATTTGATCAAAGTTAATCTCTAGCTAATTTAAATTTTTAAGATGCTTCAATCCTCTAAATATGTCTTTGAAATAACTATCAGCTTCTTATATCAGGACTTATAAATTAAGTGTCTTTAGTTAAGTTAAATTTAAAAGAGCGTTTTCTATATCAAGTCTTTTTTCCCAGCTTTAAGGATAGACACTTAATCCTAAATCTAAATGTTGTAAATCTTTTAAATTTTGGATGCTTTTTATGAAAGAAATAGAATAGTCTTAATCAACTATCTAAAATCTCCTAATTATCAATTTTTTTAAATTGCAAAGCTTTTTTATTGTTTATGATAGCTCCTCGAATGTTTCAAAATCAGTATTCAAAGCAAGGTTGTTAATTTCTTCCAGATTCTAAAGGTGTTAAAGAGACTAAATAATTTAATTTATTTGGTCTTGGCTAAAGCTCTGATTAAATTAGATATAAAAATCTAACTTTTTAAGGTTTTAAAGGCTCTTAATTCCATCAACAAATGCTTCTACTGATTAGATTTAATCCAATTAAATTACTTATCCAAATTATGGTCTCAAAAATGAAATACTCAAAACTAAGTCTTCAAGAATATCTTAATTTTGCAAACCTTCTCCTAATTAAATAAATTCTTCATTAGCAATCATACAATCTATGGCTAATTAGAACCTAACAAGCTTTATTTATTTTAAAAATGAGAAAGCTAAGTGTGACTATTACCTATACACATTTGTATAAAAATTATAATTAAGCTTTAAATTCAAATCTTTCAGATTACTCAAGTGACTTAGCGAATTTAATAGCTTGTTTTAACCCTCAGTTGTATCATCTTCAAAGTAAAGATTTAGTTTCAATTCGCTCAATTAATTTAGTTGCTTAAACGATTCTGATAAATTTTAATAACCTATTAAGCTTATTTTAGTTTTTATTTAAAAATTTAATTACTTCAATTTATCACAATTAAAATAAATTTATTGTGCAATTTTAGTAATTGTTTCTTCATAAAGCTAATGATTTGTTGTAATTAACTCGAGAATATTTAACTGACTTTTATTTTCTAGACTTTTGCATACCACAGCTTCTGATTGTGAAGAATTTCTAGAGCCAACCTTATCAAAATCTAATTTCAGACTTTTCAGTTTAGCTAATTGGCTGAGAGATTAGAAATATTCGTCATTAAAAAAACCTAAATCTTTATTCTAATTCTGGAGATTTTCAAGATGAATTTCTTCTAAATTTGTTAATTTGTTAAAAAAAGTAGAAATGTGAAGAATATCATCCAAATTTAAAGAAATATCTTTAAAATTTAGCTTAAGCGCAGTTAGGCTAATCATTTACTAAAGAAAATGAGTTATCCTTGAAATTGAGCAACTAGTTAATATTCTCAGAGCTAAATTTAATTTTGTTATTTTTTTGAATGTTAAAATTGATTGAAATAGCTGATCAATTTCATTCTAGTCTTAATATCTCAAGTCTAAATCTAAATCTAAGCTCTCAATTTGCTCTAATTATTACAATCCTTACCAGATTTCGATATTTGTCTCAGAGTTTTTTGGCTACAATTCATCTATTTTGAGTTTTAATTCAATGAGATACTTTGTGTTATTCAAAAATTGGACAAAATTTTATAAACTTGAATGAGAAATGTAATTTGATTTTTGAATTTCTATTTCGAGTTTTTTTAATTTCTTAAGAGAAGAAATAGTAAAATTGAGTAAATTAAAGCCTTGGTCTTCTAAAAAGCATAACTCTTAAACCTGTATGACTAACTTTTCTAATTAAGTGAGTTATTAAACTGATTTAAGAATAGAATTCCATCCTTCTAATCCTAAATTGCAATTTGACTCGAAAATTAGTGTTAAATCTGATAAATTATGTAAACTACTTAAATAGCCTTCATTTTAAGATACAAATAATTCATTCTGATAAAGATTTGATTCGAATTTTATAGAAAGTTTCTTGATTTCTATAAGCTCGTTAGGATTAATTTCAAGCAAGTCTCTAGAAGAGAATTCTTTTTCTTATGTCATTATTTAATATTATAAATTGTTAATTATTTATATTTAATATTAATTATAAAACTAAACTGTTGACTTTTGTTTTAAATTACTCTTTTATAATGAAAATAATTAATTCAAAAGGAATTGATTATACTTTTTTATATTGGAAATGATAGTTCTATAAAACTGTAAATATTACCTGAATTCTAAGCAAATTAAAAACTTAACTAAAAATAGAAATGAATTAAGATTGTAAAAATAATTAATGTCTTTTTTGTTTCTAAAAAAGGATTATTGTGTTTACTTATTTAAACTTACTCCATTTTGAAATATTGAGGTAAATGAATTCATAGAAAAAGAAAGTAAAAAAGTATGATGGAAACATAGATTTTTTTGATAATCTGTAGAAATTATTTAACAAAATAAAATTACCTTATAAATATTTTAAAAATATTTCTACTAAAACTGCAGAAAAAGAGGTAAAATTTTGATATAAACAAGATATTTTTGGCTCTCTTTTATTAGAACAGAAATTTGTCAATTATCTTAACAAATAAATTTGGTTATTTTTAAGACAAACCAAATCTTAATCATCATTAAAAAAATAAGCAAACAAACAAATCTTTGATATCAAAGCAGTAAATGGTATTGCTGAAATTAAAAAAAAAAAAGATAATTTAATAATGAAAAGAAAAAAATTATTTTTTAAGTTTTGATCTACAAAATTAATAAAAATATATGAAAAAAATTGTTTTATATTAAAAGTTTAATGTTTTCTAAAATAAATACAATCAATAAATTTATCCCTTTTATGCTTATTTTTTGAAAGAAATATTAATATTTTATTTTCTCAAATTTAATTAAATCATCTCAAAAATCTAAATTAATAAACAATGAAAAAAACCAAAACTCACAATTAAATTTTCAAATACTTGCGAAATCAAATCTTTGATAATTAATTTGTTAAATTTCTTTCAAATTAGTGGTGAAATAATCCTTTTTACATTTAATGTAAAAACTTGTTGTTTTCTTAATTTTAATTAAATAAAATCAGAATTAAAAACTGTAAGCTTAGATATTATATATCTTTAATTTTCATTTACAACCAAAAGCATTTAATTAAAGGATGTAATTTTG